ATAATGGTAATAATAATGGTAGTAATAATAATGAAAATAATAGTAATGATATAATTTGCTAATTGTTAAAACAATATTATCAATAACATCGATAATAATGATAAGGATATTAGTGATAGTGATTATGATGAAAATGATGATAATAATAGCATTAACTAATGATGAAACCAATAACAATAATTAAGAAATTAATTGATATATGATACCAGTGAAAATTGTATGAATAGAAATATTTTGATAATACCAATACCAACAGCAGGAAGAACCCAGGCGAAAAGGATAATAAATATAAACAAATACAACTGTAGAGATCACTATTAGAATCGACGGCTGTTATAACTAATTATGCTACAATTCTTACAAAATAATAAGGATACGAAGATGTGTATAAAAATTAAGAAGAAAGAGAATAAGGAATAATAAGGATACGAAGATGTGTATAGAAAAAAAAAAGAGAAGAAAGAGAATATTGAAGAAAAAGAAGAAAAAGGAAGACGAAAAACCAATCCAAAAATAAAAAGAAGAAAATCAAAGACGGGCAGTGATGGAGTCTCCTCACGGTGCATGCGGAATGTGCCGGCCAGCGCCCTCTCGCCTTCCCCTGCTTCTCCCACTCACACGAGTAAAGGGAAACTATAATTGCTGAATGCTGAAAGGAGGGAGAAACGGGAGACAAGTTGCGGGGCAAATATAAACAGAAAATGAGGGAAAGTTAAGTGGAACCGTTAGGGTATATATTATGCACGGTGTTTAAAGCATGGCAAATAATACATTTTTTTTTTTTGTATGTCGGTGAGAGATACAATGGAAACTGGAAAGAAAAGTCGCATTTATAAAATCGCATTCATAAAATATTCATATAGATTGAGTGAGACTGTCACGAAGAGCTAGAGTGAAATATTAGAAAGGTACCATGATAACACATAAAAACAAACACACAAAGAAAATAATTCTAGAAAATTCGCACAGAATTAGTGGGAGTGGAACGAGGAACAATCGCGAACCGCATGAACTCAATAATTGTTCACCGTGAGCGCTAATCAATGAGCCATTAAATCTGTTCCATTATACACGCGTCCCCTATCAGGAGAGCAGCCCTTCGCTACCTCTGTCCAAAATCGGGAAAAAGTGAGAAAGAGGGATGGAAGACGAAAGAAAGGGAAGGAGGATAGAGAGGAGGAAGAAGGAGAGGGAAGGGAAAAAAGAAGAGGAAAGGAAAGGAAAAAGAAAGAGAAAGAGAGAAATGGGAAATGAGGAAAAGAGGAGAAAAGGAAAGAAAGAGAGGGAGAGATAAAGGAAGGGGAAAGAGGGGAGAAGATAGAGAGAAGGGAAGGGAAAGAGAGGGAGAGAAGGGAAAGAGAGAGAAGGGAGAAAGTAGGGGAAGAAGGAAAGGGGGGAGAGAAGGGAGAGGGAAAAGAAGGGAAAAAGAGAGAAAATATGGGAAAAAGAGAGAAGGGAGAGGGAAAGGAAGGGAAAAAGAGAGAAAGGAGGGGGAAAGGAAGGGAAAAAAGAGGAAAAGAATAAGAGCCCAGAGGGAATAGGGGATGGAAGGAAGAGAGAGATGGTAAAATGAATAAAAAAGCGAGAAAGGGAAGAGGGAATACGAGGGACGGAGAAAGGAGAGGGAGAGAAGAATAATAGAGGAAGAGAAAGAGGGGAGTGGCAAAGGATAATAGATGGATGGATGGATATATATATATATATATATATATATATATATATATATATATATATATATATATATATATATATATATATATATATATATATATATGGATAGATAGATAGATAGATAGTTAGATAGATAAAATAGACAAGATAGATAAGATAGACAAGATATATAAGATAGATGGATGGATGGATGAATAGATATATAGACAGACAGAAAAATAAACAGATAGAATAGAGAGACAGCTAGGGAAAATTAGGCGAGAGCAAACGGATCATAATAATGCCTGGCCTCCCACCGCGGCCACTCAGCAAGCGACAGGGGTAAATCCTCTCCTAATGATGCCTTGCTTAAGTGCCCCCTAAAGGACATAGAAAACGGAGTCTACGGCAGCGAAATTCGACCCCCTGAGTGCGAGTACAAGTAAAATGCGGATAAATAATGGTTCTTATGGAAAGTTTGGTGGATAGAGCCTTCTTGTCCTGAGTGCGTTGGACTGCTTGTTTGCTTGTTGTTGGTTTTCCTTTCCGAGTGGTTTTGCTTACTTGGGTTGGAATCATTTCAGTGATGATAATGGTGATAAGAATTAGGATGATGTTAATATTACTACTGCTAATACTCATACCACTTCTAACAAAATTCATTATAAGTATCATTATTATTGGTATCATATTCTAAATCTGTTATTATCATATTAAATTATTACCATTATCAATATTACTATTATTTTTATCATTATTATTATCATTATCATTATTATTATTTATTATATATTTTATCATTATCATTATTATCCTTATTACTACTATAATTATTATCATCAACAATAATGACAAAACTGATGATGATAATGATAATAATGAAAATGAAAAATATAAT